CATTATGAGGTAAAGGATCTTAATACTTCGTCCACAACAATATTTAATGAGGTTAACTTTACTCACGTTACCCTCCTTGTGGTCAGTCTGCACAAGATCAACAAGCGTGTTTGATTTGCGACCCCTTTAAATAGAAGATAAGCATTCGATCTACGTCAGAGCGTCCACAAATCTTTCTACAGCGTTGTTGGCAGGGCGGCCAGAGCGATTTTTGACGCTCTCGACGGCGGCGTTGTGAACGCACAGTTTGCCGCAACGCGAAGGTTGAGGTTCCTTTCACAGAAGTTTAATGTACTCATCGACAGACACCAACATCGTAGAACTAAATAAACAGGATGAATATATAACAATCTTTAATCACACATTCAGTTACATGGAAAACACACATATGATTTTAAAATTGTAAATTAACAAACAAACAAAAAAAATCTGCATACCACTTTTGCCTGCTTGTGAGCTAAGAGAGGGGGTTGCATTTTGAAGTTTCTTGATTGGATGGTTTTAATCACATAGAGAAACACGTTGAACTTTGCAAAAATAGCATTATTCCATCTCTTCATGCGGATTACAAAAACAGGAAGTGACAAAAAAAGCAAGATGGGAATAAAATAAAACAAATTCTTATTAAAAACAGAGAGAGTGTGTCTGAACCCCGAATGTTATCAGGAAGGCTATTCCAGAGTTTGGGAGCCAAATGAGAAAAAGCTCTACCTCCTTTAGTGAACTTTGTTATCCTAAGTAGAGGGCTGCATTGGGATTTGGATCCTGCTGGACCCAATGCAAATCTCATGTGAGCGTGTGGTTTTACTTTTACTTTGGGTGGTAATGGGCGGTCGAAAAAAGTAGCGTGGGTCCCACAATCCCGTAATTTGGTGCATACCAACAATGATGGAATTACATAGGCTAAACAGGTGTTTACACAGTGTTTGGTCGTACACAGATTACATTACTTGCCCTCCGCGGCACCGCTCCCACTGTTGTTTTGCTTTTTAAATAGAAATCATTTAGTTCAGCTGGAAAATGTACTCTACACTAAACTGAATTGAATGGAAATTTACCAGTAGGCTATCAGTATGTTTTACTGGTGCAGTAGGAGAAAATGCTAACTTTAGCCTGATAGCACTGAAAGCAAACGTCCCACCCTCCCTGCAATCGCCGTCCAAAGCCACACCCCCTGAACGCATTTATGCTCGCAGGCCAGAACACCAGAGACAACATTACTACAATAGGCTAAGTCAGTGGTTCCCAATTCCAGCCCATGTTCCGAAGTGAAGTAAACTTCAACGGTCTTCAAACTTCCCCCGCTCAGGGAGAAGGGAGCAATGAACACTGTGTAGGGATCATATCGATCGGAACACAGTTCATGCACGTACCTCACTTCTAACGAGCTGGCGCGCGAAGACTGGATTAACCGCTGGGCTACATCATGTGTCATTCATCAGTGAGAAAACTTTAAAAGTACTACAATACCAGGAAGAAAGATTGGGTTGTTGATATTTGTCTGCCATTCTCGCTCTGTCTGCACAGCGTGCGTGAATGCGCTGATGACGTATCCTGTCTGCGCGAACTGTGTGCGCAGAGGTATGCAGATACATAAGTTGACAGGCAGGTAGGAATGCATATTAAAATGCTCGGACCGAGCGTTTTGATTGGACGAACATTTCTTGATCCTACGCCTTCCACAGAATATATAAACACAGACAAATACATTTAGACCACTTAACTTAATGATTGCTATCAGGATGTGAAGAGACTTTCAACCAACATAACAAAAAATGTTTCTGAAGACAATCACCTGTCATTGCATCTTTAAGAAACACAGCTCTCTATTTAAATCAAGATATTAGGATCGCTGACTAGCAGAATCATTTGCCTCTTCCTCAAGCTTGTTAAAAGTACAATTATGTACCTTGTACAGAATTATGTACAGAAATGAGACCTCTATCAATGAGACATTTTTTATATAGCGCTTTATTGTGTATTGCTGTACACCCAAAGCGCTTTACAATCATGAGGGGGGTCTCTCCTCGACCACCACCAGTGTGCAGCATCCACTTGGATGATGTGACGGCAGAAAGCAGCAGCTGGTTTCTCTTTACTCATCTGACTACAAAGTGGGATAAAACCTCGACACATGTGCGTCTTTTAATTCTTTAGGCTGAAGTGCAGGAGCCATCAGACATTACACATGTACGTGAGAGATTTCATTTCAAAACTGGCTGAAGAGGACGAGCAAACAACTAACACCTGCTTTAACTCAAACGTCCCATCCAGCGGAGTTCCCCTGCACCGGATCTCTCAAAACTCAAAGTTGCACTTTCACATATTCAAGCTGGCACACCTAGTGTACTGGCATCGACGTCAAACCTTGATGATTTTTAGATAACAACATAAATTTAGGTCTGTTCCTCATGCAAAGTTTATTATATGAACCAGTCCACAAAGAACAGTGCAACTTCACCTAAAATCTCCTTTTGTGCTCCAAGGGTCTGAAACAGTATTTTAAATGGCACTTTTATGCAAAAACAATATTATAATTGACAATTTAACAAATTACCAAAATGATTTGTTATCAGGAATGAAAATTAATAGTGGCTTCAGGAATAAATGCCCCCCAAATCGAAGACAAGGAGACTAAAAATGCCTGTGTACAATTAAACTAAATTTATTACGACTGTTGTGATTAAGGTGAAATTGAACGTCCCACCCTCCCTGCAATCGCCGTCCAAAGCCACACCCCCTGAACGCATTTATGCTCGCAGGCCAGAACACCAGAGACAACATTACTACAATAGGCTAAGTCAGTGGTTCCCAATTCCAGCCCATGTTCCGAAGTGAAGTAAACTTCAACGGTCTTCAAACTTCCCCCGCTCAGGGAGAAGGGAGCAATGAACACTGTGTAGGGATCATATCGATCGGAACACAGTTCATGCACGTACCTCACTTCTAACGAGCTGGCGCGCGAAGACTGGATTAACCGCTGGGCTACATCATGTGTCATTCATCAGTGAGAAAACTTTAAAAGTACTACAATACCAGGAAGAAAGATTGGGTTGTTGATATTTGTCTGCCATTCTCGCTCTGTCTGCACAGCGTGCGTGAATGCGCTGATGACGTATCCTGTCTGCGCGAACTGTGTGCGCAGAGGTATGCAGATACATAAGTTGACAGGCAGGTAGGAATGCATATTAAAATGCTCGGACCGAGCGTTTTGATTGGACGAACATTTCTTGATCCTACGCCTTCCACAGAATATATAAACACAGACAAATACATTTAGACCACTTAACTTAATGATTGCTATCAGGATGTGAAGAGACTTTCAACCAACATAACAAAAAATGTTTCTGAAGACAATCACCTGTCATTGCATCTTTAAGAAACACAGCTCTCTATTTAAATCAAGATATTAGGATCGCTGACTAGCAGAATCATTTGCCTCTTCCTCAAGCTTGTTAAAAGTACAATTATGTACCTTGTACAGAATTATGTACAGAAATGAGACCTCTATCAATGAGACATTTTTTATATAGCGCTTTATTGTGTATTGCTGTACACCCAAAGCGCTTTACAATCATGAGGGGGGTCTCTCCTCGACCACCACCAGTGTGCAGCATCCACTTGGATGATGTGACGGCAGCCACAGGACAACAGCGCCAGTGCGCTCACCACACACCAGCTACAGGTGGAGAGGAGAGAGAGTCATAGAGCCAATTCAATGAATGGGGATTATTAGGAGGCCATGATTAACATGGGCCAGTGGAGGGAATTTGGCCAGGACACCAGGGTTACAAACCTACTTTTTTACGAGAAGTGCCATGAGATTTTGAGAGTCAGGATCTCAGTTTAACGTCTCATCCAAAGGACGGTGCTTTTTGACAGTATAGTGTCCCCATCACTATACTGGGGCATTAGGACCCACACAGACCACAGGGTGAGCACCCCCTGCTGGCCTCACTAACACATCTTCCAACAGCAACCTAGTTTTCCCAGGAGGTCTCCCATCAAGGTACAGACCAGGCTCAGCCCTGCTTAGTTTCAGTGGGCAACCAGTCTTGGGCTGCAGGGTGATATGGCAGTGGCCATATCTAGCTATATTTCTTTCTATTGATCATTACTAGCACAGCCTAGCAACTATAGCCTAAGACATGCTAAATCATGGACCCTTTTCACAAGACTGATGACGTGTTTGCACGGTCATCAGCATCGTAAATCATCCAAAGTTTTTATATTTTCATTTAGAAAAAATGTATGTACATTTATAACACTACACTTTGTATTTTATTACCTTTACATAAAAATAACAAAAACCTAGTTAACACTAGCGAGGGTGTTTCTAATACAGCATTTATGGGAGTGAGAGTAAATTTGTAAATTAAAGGTGACATATCATGAAAATCTGACTTTTCCAGGTTTTAAGTGCTATAATCAGGTCCAAGCATCTACCAACCAAGGAAACCTGAAAAAGATTAACCCAGTCACTTTATTTTGGTAAGCCCTTTTCTGCAAGCGTCTGAGAAAACGAGCATGAATTTCAGTGCGATAAACATGATAAGCAGAACCAAAACAGATGTTTTAAGCAGGTCCGAGTTGTAATGGCGCAGCTCTATTCTGGAAAAAGGGGGCGGGGAGCAGCAGCTCATTTGCATTTAAAGACACCGGTCCGAAAAAGAGCGTGTTTCTGCTTCCACTCAAAATAGGCATTTTCAAAATGATATAATAAATTATCTGTTGAGTATTTTGAGCTGAAACTTCACAGACACATTCTGGAGACACCAGAGACTTCTATTACATATTGTAAAAAGGGGCATAATATGTCTCCTTTAAAATCATTCATTCTTCTGACTGACTTTATCAGTCTCTATTTTTTCCACCCAGAACACATTATCAACTGCACAGCAACCACACCAAATACTCTAGCAACCACCCTGAGTACCTTGGTAACTGCATAGCAACAGCCTTTTGTTTACTGACTGAATGTGACTCTGTGTGTTTCATAGTGTGGATCATGGCGGAGAATCCAGGATTACAGCAGGACTAAAGAAATGTACGTCTACACACACACACACACACAGCTTTAGTGATTGTTGTTGTGTTACAAATGTCTCTGTTCTTGTGTTCAGATGACTGTGCTCTCACACTGGATCCAAACACAGCAAACACTCAACTCATTCTGTCCGAGGAGAACAGAATGGTGACATGTTTGGACAAGAAACAGCCGTATCCTGATCATCCAGACAGATTTAATGTTTATCCTCAGGTGTTGTGTAGAGAGAGTGTGTGTGGACGCTGTTACTGGGAGATTGAATGGAGTGGAGATGATGGTGTGTATATATCAGTGTCATATAAGAGCATCAGCAGGAAGGGAGATGGTGATGAGTGTTGGTTTGGATGTAATGATCATTCCTGGAGTTTGATCTGCTGTCCTGACAGATACTCATTCAGACACAATGAGATAGTGACTTGTCTCCCTGTAGAGCCTATCATTGGCAGTAGAATAGGAGTGTATGTGGATCACAATGCAGGAACTCTGTCCTTCTACACCGTCTCTCACACAATGAGCCTCATCCACACAGTCCAGATCACATTCACTCAGCCGCTCTATCCTGGGTTTAAGGTTTATTATAAATCATCAGTGAAGCTGTGTTGATGAATCAGAATAGATTGATGAGAGATTCTACCCGTAATGCTTTGAGCTGCATAATAAATCAGTAGCAGTGAGATGTTATGGTCTCTTCTTTTCTCTTCATTACACAACCCTCTACATTGTGAGTAACTCACTCGCATATGCGACTAAATCTTCACTCTGGGCGACTAAATGATGTCTAATATTAGCCAATGGCTAATAAATTCTTAGATTTTACTCACCAGTGTGTGAGTTGGAGGCTGAGTATATGATTAGCACAGACATTTTTTCACTCACAGAACACTCTGACTGAGCGCTTCAGAGTTTCACTCTACGTCAAGCGATCTGTGGTATTTATCATTTCATCTCAATGGATGCGCAGCGCACCTGTGTTTGTGTATTTGGCGTAACGTAAACTCTTGTGTGAACGACTCGCTTATGCTTTCTCTCACACGCGCAAAGTGAGAGAGAGAGTGAGAGAGTCTTACATAACATGCAGAATTGATGTGATACATGTAAACAATATTCTTTGTTTTATTTTCCTGTCAAAATAACGGAGTTCCTTTGGAATTCTTCAGCTTTTAAGAAATGCCGGGTTTTCCGGTAGTAGGTGGAATTAATGCGCAAACAACAATCTCATTGGCTGGTGCTCACCTATTATCGTCCCCGTTTTGATTTCAGCAAATCAGTTCGAGCGAACGCACACAACCTGATTAATATTCATGAATCCAGAAGCTCGATAATCCTTGGTGCGCTTTATATTGTTCTTATTAGTAGAATTCGTATAATAATAATATCTTATCAGTATTATTGTTAGTTTTTTCCCCCCAATTTTTTACAGGAACACTGAATGACCAAAAAAAGCACCAGCACCAGTCCTAAGTTCATGGTTATACAGTGTATATATATATATATATATATATATATATATATATATATATATATATATATATATATATATATATATATATATATA